ACTACAATTTACTAACAATTTTAAGTCCTCAAGGGTATGACTCAGTATAAGCTCTTGGCTATTCCCTGATTTCCTTCCTTTGAGTCTTTGCGTTCTATTTGGGCCTGTTTCCCTCATACACTCTCCAATGGGAAGGCCCTGGTGTCTTAATCTTTTCCCATTAAACCATACCATTCTGATTCTTCTATACTTATTGACCTAACTCTTGCCTTTAATGATCTCAGGCTCTAGACCGGAATGGCACACTTCATCCTTGGGGACAGGAGTGCCTACTGGAAATCTCTAACTTTCCTATTCTTGGTGTAATCAGAGGGACAAAACAGGGATTCCTGTATGCAGAGTCATCACCCCATATTGTTCCATGGTGGTGGGGAATTTTCCCAAAGATTATTTTGCTTAGAGAGGCTGCCATTGTAAACATTTTCAGCTTTCGCCAAAGCCTCCACAAAATTTCCCAAGGGAAGAGGCATAACGAACTCCCATAACATAGAGCGAGAGTCATTGAACATTAAAGTAAAATCTTTTACTGGATAAGTGTGGTCTGCAATGTCTAAATGCTGGAACTTTGTCAAGCAACAGTGGTGGCCAATCACCATGCTGTCCACACCGTCTTATTTTCAACTTTATTGCATTTCCTAAATCTATTGCAATACCAAAACAAAACAGAGAAACCCTGTCTCGAAAAAACAAAACAAAATCTATTGCAATAAGGGTTATTGGCTTCTCCAGGAGACATGCAATCTTGCCTGTCCATGTAGGCAATGGAGTTATATGATATTTGAGGTGTTTCTTGGGGTAGACAGCTGATCTGGTCCCAGTTGGATGGATATTCTGGTCTTTGGTCGCTGTTGCCCACTCTGGATCCTAGGCACGTGTGGTAGCTGTGTGTTTCCTAGTGGAGAGGGTTTCTGCGGGTGGGTAGGTGACACAAAGGAATGGAGACGGGCTATGAGGAAAGGCTCAGGAGCAGTGGAAAAGAGCTAAGGGGACTCTGGACTCCGGCAAGAGGCAAGGTCCCTAGGGTGGCGAAGGGAGTAGGGGCTTCTGTATTTCATTCAGCCCAGTGTGGACATTGGGAGTCCCTGGGAATAAAGGTTTACATATATCATCGACTGACACAAAGGGAAGGCTGAGAGCATCCAAGGAAAGACTATCAATTATGTGTGTTATGGGCATTTGCATGCAGTGCCCGATGTGGTCAAAAGAGGGCGGCAGATGCCCTAGTACTGCAGTTCAAAATGTTGACGAGGCGCCATGTGAGTGCTGAGAGTCAAAGCCAGGTCTAGCATGATAATTCTTTAGAAATTGAAAACAGAGCCACAGAGGCTTCCCTGTAGAGGGCACATCGTCACTGTGGTGACCTCAAGGAATTCTCAGACATTTGCTTGTTCACAGGAACAGATGCCTGTCTTCTGAGATGCCCACTCCTTCATATGCAGAGAAGGATAATTCCCGGAAGGATTATTCACGGGAGGATTAATATTATAAAGCGTCTGTGTCCCTCGAAACCAACGAAGCTGAGGTTGGTATTAAGTGAGTAGAACCAGCCACCGAGGGACAAATTTCACAGGACTTCACTTACACTGTGAAATCTGACTGTTTAGGTGGCACTGGCAGAGTGGGGTCACCAAAGGCTTGGGATGGAGGGGCAGCCACCTTAGTTATTCTGATTTAGCTAAGTCACGCTACAAATATAGACAAGGAATGCCATCCATCATGCAACTATTTGACAGGCGAGATAGCTGCGTATTTTTCTAATAAACCAAGTACAAATGAGTTCTGATATGTTTCCGTAGTGTAGTGGTTATCACGCTCGCCTAACACGCTAGAGGTCCCTGGCTCGAAACCGGGCGGAAAAGAACACTACATTCTTTCCTTTTTTCCTCACTTTCTCTTTCTCTTTTCAGATTCGCAGTTCAGCGCTCCTTAAACTTTCAGGTTTTCAACTTCTCGACTTTGAGAATCCTGACTTTGGCTGTCATACTTTCCAGGTCCCAATACGAGTTGATGCGTTGGGCACACATACAGAAACATAGGACCAGTGCAACGAACCTGGGGGATTAGCTCAAATGGTAGAGCGCTCGCTTAGCATGCGAGTGGCAGTGGGATCGATGCCCACATCCTCCAACTTTACCTTGTGGTTGGCATCCACTCAGCTGCCACAGTGATGTGGGGGACCCCTGAATAAGGTCTCCTTACAGACTTCGGTCCCTCTTTGGGACACAAATGCCCTGTGTAGAGCTTTCAAAATCTGGAATGCGGCTGAGTTGCATGGTCATAACCAGTGTGTAATGGCGTGGGAAGTTCACGTAAATACGTAATGGCGTGGGAAGTTCACGTAAATACCACAACACAGATCTCTGCCAGGCTCCCTGGGAGTGCTGGGAGGGACAAAGCTCAGATGGAGAAAAGTGTCAGGAAAGATCTCTGCCAGAACATGCTTTGGACCTCACTGAGCTGTTGGACACTGACGAATGGCTTGGGTTTCTGAACCCGGCATTGCTCAAGTCACTGTCTCTAGAGCAGCAGAAGGCAGGAAACAAACAGGAGTTCCCAGGCTTCTGATCCACGCGGGAAGTCAGAGTGAAGAGTCAGTGTGGCTGGACAGAAGCGAGGCTGTAGGAAACGTGAGGTGGAGAAAGAAAGGCTCAGGTTTTCCGTCGTTGCCCTCTGCTTCCAGAATGGATTCCTGCTAGAACTCGACTCCCTCCACCTGTGCTTTCAGGACACCAGAACCACAGAAACAAAACACATAAGGGAGCTTGGGTCCATAAAGATGGAGTTCTTTGAAAGTATTATATGCTTAAATATAGATCTTTGGTATGGCTGTTTCCATTTTGTTGAATTAAAATTCAGCCTGGCCCGTACGGGGATCGAACCCGCGACCTTGGCGTTATTAGCACCACGCTCTAACCAACTGAGCTAACCGGCCAACTGCATATCTACCTACTAATGCCTCTACAGAGGGGGCTTCCTACAAAATGGCACTTCTCAATGCATTCTTTGCAGTTTGTTTGTTTCCATTTTAAGGTTTTCTGAAAACAGTCTTGAACCTCACACTGTTCTAAGATTGACAATGAAAGGAATGTAAATGTCACAATCCAGTGATTGCCGAGCCAGCTTTCTTGCACCATAGACTAGCCCAGAACACTTGATGAGACCGCAAGTTGCCCGCCAGTTGCGGAAGTGAGGACTACAGAGCACTTTGAGTTCCATTTTCTGTAAGGTGGTTTATCTAAACAGCTTCCGGGAGAGGTAAATTGAAGACTTTCTTCTAAAAGTGAAGCTTTACCTGGGCCGCAGGAGGATAAAACACAGGACTTCATGCTATTAACACCACACTCTAACCAACTGAGCTAAACTCCGAGCTACGTAGTATTCTATAGGCGACCCCTACATACGAGAAAAGATATAATTGCCAATTGAGGTTGTTTGGGGGTTTTGTTTTGTTTTGTTTTGTTTGCTTTGGGTTTTCGGGCTTTTTAACATTTTTTGTTTTACTTTCTTGAAGCTGGGAAACGTTAAAAACAAAACAAAACTCGTGTTGTCCTAAATTGAAAACTTCTCTAAGCATTGAAAGAAAATAGTGTACGAGGGCAAGTAATATCACCTTGCAATGATTCTTGACCCGAAGACACTGGCCCTGGATAGCTCAGTCCACTCGCTCAGTGGCCGCCCAGACTGCCAGCCGCCCTCTAGTCCTCACGGAGTTCGCTTCCTGCGAGTTCTCCCTGTTGCCTCCAAGTGACAGTTTGACAGCCTTCCTAGTTTCACCGAATTTTGCAATCAATTCGACAAAAACTTTGGGAAAACGCTGTCGGTGGCAGGCCTCAGCCGAGTCGCGCGCGTCTCTACTGGGTCACTAAGGCTTCGCTCTAGTCTTGTAGATGCGGGAACTCCAGAGGCCTGGTGTTCGTGACCCGAAGATATTCTTCTTCGCGGCGGCGGGGCTTTGTTCCTCTGGCCACAGTAGGGGACCGCGGAGTCCTGTGTGAGGAGTTTGTACAGGACCAGCGCCCCGCCGCCCCCACCCCCACCCCCACCCCAGGCTGGTCACAGGACGGAGTCGTCTCTCTTGTCTTAGGTCTCAGTGATGCCAAACTCTGCTCAGTTCCAACTTGGGTTTGCCGTCGGCACAGTTCTGGGAGTTTGGGGGACGCCTGCTCTTCCGGCGGTTCCTAGCTGTCTCAGCGGGAACCCGAAGAGTCGAGAGGCCGCTGTCCTGTCCTCGGCGTCTGAATTCGAGGAGGGGCTCCCGTGTTCATTCCGTCCTCCTTTAAGGAAGTCTCCGAGAAGTGGACAACCTGAGATTCGAGGCGGTTTTGGTCCGAGCCTCGGCAAGACTTGGCAACTCACGAAACAAGCAGAAGCAACAACACCCACCAGGCTGCATGGAGTTGGCGCTGACCACTGCAGGGCCTGATGCCTAGTGTCCTCTGACCCGGAGGCTGCGATGGTCCTCATCCTGACTTCTGAAACAGCCCCTCGCCTCTCCGCAACCAGGAGCTAGGGTGACACGGAATATCTGGGACTGGGAAGTGGCCCGCGACCTCGGAGCCCGTAACCGCTGAGGCCAAAGCAGAGCATCAGCCTCCACATACCCAGTCGCTTGTTCTTCCGCCCCTCTTGGTGAAAAGACTTTGTTGATCCTGTTCACGAGGGACCGACCGACCCTCAGAGCTCCGGGTTCCTAGCTGGTGGCCTTGCTGGGGCAACAACCACAGGAGACACGAACAAAAGAGCCTTCGATAGAGCGCGACGTGTGACGCGTGACGCACAGCTGCTAGAACGTCAGAAGCCACTGCACCACTCTAAACTCAAACGGCTGTACCGCCAGGCTGTCAGGACCCTTGTGGCCATGGTCCCCGAAGGCTCTGTCTGCGGGGCCCTAATTTCAACGCCCTTCTCTGCTGTTAATCCAGTAAATCTCCAAAGTTAGGAAACCTGTGCTTGAGCAGCCGCCAAGGACCTTACAAACTTTCTCTGGTTGTCCCGGAAAGTTTCATCCCGAAAGACGTTGAATTGCCTCTCGGGTTGTCTTCTGCTGGCTTCTCAAAACTACAGAGATTCTGCGGAGGAGTGGCTCTTTGGCACAGTGAGTTTGAACAGGACATTGTAGCGGGATAGTTCGTTTCTTTGGGAGATGAGGGAAGAGTTCCTCACGTGTTGACTTCTGTCCCTGTCCGTGGGAAGGTATGAATACATAGATATTCTGGTTTCATCGGTCTGTGTTAGACAGCGCAAATCCGTTCTGTCTGACTACCCGCACAGGGAATTAACATTCCAAAATAGTTACTCCATTCCTATTGATCTCTGTACTGCTAAAATGCTTGCTAAATCGCACCCTAAAAACGGAACTTTCAGTTCCTATCTGGGATTCTCCATTGGGGAGACTGGGGAAACCTCAGGTTCAGACCGCAGGCAGTGAAGTCTTGTAGTAAATTCCGGGATGTGGGAAAAACCACGAACGAATTCAGTGCTGCTGACCTCTTTGCAACAAACATTCCGATACCGAGCAGCATAGGAGAGATTAAAGCAACTGGGCTCTCCTGTCGAGTTATTTCTGGATAAAAAGGAACCGGCTCCATCTGGTTATTTAAGATGGAAACGATCTGAATCCTCCAAACAGAGAAGCCAGGCATACTAAGTCAAAGACTGAGTGACCACCTAGGGCAGGTGACCTGGTATGCTACTCTCAATAAATGCATGTTGGAAAAGCCAAAGCCTTGAGGGGTCATTAGCTAAAGGATAGAGCAGCAGCACTGATCCAGAATGAAGGAGAAGGGTGGATGCTGGCCATCTCCAGCTGATGTGCTTTCTTCCTGCCTAGTCCTTGCTGTGGGCTACTCACCAGAGGAGACTACTCACACTTGGGTTTAAGCTAATGGAAAGTCTTTATTAGCCAGCCAGTGTCTGCACTGGGCCCTCAGATCCCAGTGTAGTACTCAGTCTTTCTCAGAGTGTGCTTTTAAGCACACACACACACACACACACACACACACACACACACACACAAACCCACATTGTAGGTTGACATAACTCTGTTACCAAGAACAGTTAGCCAGAGGCATAACTGCAAAACCCAAAAATCAAAATTAGTACATCTAGAGACTGTCCCAGAACTATGGACTTGGAGACATCAAGTCTTTGTTTTCAGTTTTGGCAGGTGGTGCTGCCTATGTACTGACTTTTACAGCCTGAATGATACTTCCATCATGGAGTCAGTAGTGCTAAGGTCTGGGGGCATTCTATGATCTGGATTCCATGTCCCTAATAGAATAAATAAAAAAAAACAAATGAAAGAGATATATGTTATATTTTACATATATAACAAAATATAATATTTATTTGGATATTATACCATACATATTCTTTACATATACATGTGTATACTTCTCTGCTTGTCTATAGAGGCCAGGGAACAACGGGTTTCTCCTAAGTCACCCACTTGGTGTTTTCAGTTTTGTTTGGGGACAGTATCTCTTTGGCCTCTACTTGCTAAATAGGCTGGACTACTTCTCCACGGAGCCCCAAGCACCACCCTGTGTCTTCCTATCTAGAGTAAGAACTACAAACTCAGACCATCACGCCTGTTTTTTAAAACCCTCCTTTAATCCTGAAGATCAACCTTGGCTTTAAAGAGTGGCCTGCACCTCACTATGTGAGAGTGTTTTTGCTAAGTGAGTTACTGGCAACGTTCCTCACTCACCCTCCGGCAGGCTGATTTCTTACCCTGTCTTCCTTCAGAATGCCTGGCCCACTCTCAGGCAATCTCATGACTGTTCCTATGCTCTCTGGCTACAGTTTGTGAATGTGAATGTCAGATACACACTTAGTTAATGGGACCTCTTCTTGACTCTGTTCCCAAGCCATTTCCCACCTTGAACTCATAGTCTGTAGTCTGCTTTCCCACAAAAACACTAATTTTTTTTTTACTGAAACCCTAAGGCATTCTAAACCTGAGTATGTAAAAGCCATTTAGAGTATTCTCACCAGCTTTTGGATAATATATCATACATGTAAGTTTTGTTTGCTTTTTTGATATATATATATATATAATATATATGTATACAAACAATACATTTAATGTGTGTACATATGTTATTTTATTCATTTAAAATTTTACAGATATTATGTGTATCTGTATACATGTGAGTGCAAATGCATAAGGAGGCCAAAGGGGATATTGGATTGCCCTGACTGGGTGCCTGGAGTCAAAATCTGTTCCTCTGCAAGAGACATATGTGCTCGTAACCACCTCTACAGTGCAGTTTCACAATTATAACATTGTTCCCTGTTCTAAGAAACTGCATGAGATTCTGACTTAACCACGAGCCGTGTGACTTAGGCCACTTATCCGTAACACAGCCAGTGTGCTGCAGAGGGTCTTGGGTGTTCATAAGGGCTGGCTTGCTTCAGGAGCTCCTGCAGGCGGCTCTTGGCCCTGCCATTAACACCTGTGTCTTTCCTCATCCTATCTCATGCAGTTGATTGACTCTTCTCAACTGTGGGAGGGGACTCATAATAGAAGACACAGTCTATTAATTCAGTGAGTCCACACAGTAATTCTTTCCCCCCTTTTAGCAAACAGACTGATCCCTGCTCCCCAGACACTAACATTTAGTGGAAGGCACTGGCTCCTGTCACTCTGAGGACAATGCACTGTCATTCTTCCCTAGTAACATTTCTTTCTCAGACAACAGTATTTCAGACCCTGGCTCTCTCCACCTATTTTGGTCTTCTAAAACTGCATTCCCTTTCATAGTTTCTAAATTACCTGGCTAGCATTTCTTCATCCCACAAATCCTTTTTGGTGTGTTTTACTTAATATTGGGTCTTTCTGTCATCCTGGCTATCTTGGAGCTTGCTATGTAGACCAGACTGACTTTGCTATTTCATAAATCTTGATAAAGCCCCTACCGTGATGTTAGCTATGATCAGAGAAAATGACTGTTTCAGCTTTGGTGAGAAACAGCTTTGCAAGCCACTGAGCTCCGCACTTCTCTACTACCTTGGCCCTTGACTGTTGACAAACTGTGTGGAGTTCTAGGCAGAGTATGAGGCCTAGTAAAAGACAAGTAGAGACAGGGGAGGAGGAGGCAACTGGCCTCTAGGTCAAGCAGTGTGGATCTGCCACGTGGTTTTTGTTTTTCTTTGCTCTGGGAGGTCTTTTGGATCTATGTTGACACACGAACAGAAGTTTTTCTCCTGGAAAACAACAACGATTGAGTGTCACTTTCATGAACTCATGGGATTAGGAGTGAGATTTGTGGCAGGGAAAGGAGGAAAGAAAGAATGGGCAGGGAATATAATGAAAGTACATTGTAAGCTGGCTGGATTATGTCACCTTGACACAAGCTAGAGTCGTTGGAGAGGAAGGAACCTCAGTTCAGAAAATATCTCCATAAAATCAGGCTGTAGGCAAGCCTGTAGAGCATTTTTAAATTAGTGACTGCTGGGGTAAAGAGCTCAGCACATTGTGGGTGGGGTTACTCCAGGGCAGGCAATCCTAGGTTCTATTAGAAAACAAGCTAAGGAAGCCCTGGGGATCAAGCCAGTAAGCAGCACTCCTCCATGGCCTCTGCATCAGCCCCTGCCTCCAGGTTTCTGCCCTGCTTCAGTTCTTTCCTGACTTCCTTTGCTGATGAACAGTGATGTGAAAGCATAAACTCTTCCCGCCAAAGTTGCTTTGGTCAAGATGTTTCCTCACAGCAGAGATAACCCTAACTAGGACAACCTGTATGAAATTAAAAAAAAAAAAAATAAAGCTGAGCCCTGATTTGTTTCTTGTCTGGTTTTGTCAATCACCAGGCCGTGATTCGTTCTACTGAGCCCCAGCTTTCTCAGTAAGATTAGAATAATGATAAACAGGCTTATGAAAAAATAGGTTGAGTGAAATAATGTCAGTAAGATAATTAATAGATGTGAGGGTCACGGAGGTGGAAAAGAAGGAACAAAACCAACAAGAGACGCCACACTAGACTCATTGTGTGACATTTTTGTGAGCTTATCCAGGACAAAATGGTTAGACCTGCAAGTTTGCATGAACGGCCGGCCCGGCACACCTGTCCCCCAGAATTTTATGTGAGCTGTTTCTACTTTTACGTATTCGGTGACAGGCAATGTTACGGCAGGGTAGGGTTGAATCCCAGAGGGAACAAGACTGAGAACAATGAAGTAACAAAGTAATATGTCAAGTAGAAGAGACTAGGCACCCCTTGTTCAGCCCTGCATCATGGTTTCAGGGCCTGTGAGGCTCTCCAAGAACCCAGGGCTAAGAGAGTTCGTGTTGGTTCTCTTGAAAATATCCCCACCTTAAACCACAACACTTCGAAATGCTCAGATTCGAGGGCTGACGCTGGGAACAGACGCCGAACAGAAGACACTGAATCCGTCCTGTAAGATATAACCAAGTGCAAACTGTGGACGCCATCTTAGCGCAGTAGGCAGCGCGTCAGTCTCATAATCTGAAGGTCCTGAGTTCGAGCCTCAGAGAGGGCATGTTTTATTTCCTCTTTATAGAACTCAGAACTATGGATAACAGAGGCTACTTGGAAGTTAAGTAAATGGAATTGTCCTCCAGTAGATCCACAGAATTTCGGTCCCGCTCTAAGATGCCGAACTCCGGTTTCCTGGTGTTTGGTACTTACCGAGCGACCACAAGTCAATTTTGTGCATGGGTTAGAAGGCTGGGATAGCTGAACTGGGAAATAGGCTAAGCCAGGTTGTAAGTACATTGGCCCGGAGTCAGGTAGATGTGTGTGTGTGGGGGGGGGGGACTGAAAAGCTTCTGTTGTCCTAAGGTGGTCCTGACCCGCAGGGGACCCGTAGGAGAGTAGTTCAAGAGAGAGGTCTGACCCCGAGAAGCACGCTGTCTTCAACGATGGCCAAAAATGATACAGGATAAAAATATCTGTGTCTCTTGAGGGTGGGACTGGGAGTAAGGTAGAAACCAGGTATGGTGCCGCTGAGATAGTGCCCAAACTGCTCTTACTTAGTCAGCTCTCAAAAAAACAAAAACAAAACCGACTCACTTCAGAATAGCTCCAATAAAGCAGACAAAGCAGGTGTTCAGTTAAATTCCTACCCTTTAAATAATTAATTGTAAATCCTGTCTTCCAGGTGTCACCTCATCTGAAATTGTACACACACTTTAATACTTTTCAGGCTGCATTGTAAATCTTCCATTAACGTTACCTGACCTTCCTGGAATTTCATGGGAAACATAGTTTTCAGAAGAAAGACAGGAAAAAAACACAATTTCCTATTTTACACATTGTAAACTCCCTTCCCAAAGGGATCCTCAGGTCTGAGTTCTTGGAACCACTGAGGAGTTGCCTTGCACGGGAACATGACTCTGTAGATGTGTTAGGGTCACAGAATCCGGAAGAGAGTTTTGAAAAACCTCAATCCCCACCCCCCCCAGCCCCTCACCCTCCCACCCCCCCACTCCCCCCACCCTGCTTTTTGAGACTCAGAAGGTTGCCTCAGTGGAAAATTCCTCAAGTTCCCCTAGACAGGGAACAAGGTCTGATTAAAAAGAACATCTGGTCCAGAGAGGACACTGGCAGGCTGTTAAGATAAATTTAATCTTGACCTTGTGATTTCTCCAGGAAGGATGTACGAGTTCTTACAATACCCCTATTGCTTGCCCAGATCTGTACCTGCAGTGGCCCAGCTTTTTACAATACCCTTATTGCTTTGCTTGCCAAATTATGTATATAAAAAGAAAACTGTCCTAAAGCCCAGCGCGTTCAGTTAGCTAAGGCTGCTGAATCGCCCAAAGATGCCTGTGTAAACAATAAACCTCTTGCGGTTTGCATCCAGCTGTCTGGTTATTGAGCTCGGGACGTCACCCGGGTATTCAGCCTGAAGCATGATAGCCTCAGGTCTTTCAGTTTAATTTAGCGTAAGCTTCTAACAGGCTAAAATGGTGGGAGGCTGGCAAGCAAGCCACAGGCATGGCTGGAAAAGCAGGAAGCGCAGAAATCACAGGTAACTGCAGAGAACTGGGGTCCGGTGAGTCTGTAAAGTCTCAAAGTGACCCTTGACACTTCCAGCAAAGCAGCACCACTTCTGCAAACAGCTCCACCCACTGGAACCAAGTCTTCAAAGAAGCCTAAGATGGGACATTCCTCACTCTAATCACCACAGAGAGATTATATGGTATTACCCAGGTCAGCCCAATAGAATCACAGGAGTCAATAGAAATGGAGAACCTCTCCCTGATATTATCCAAAGTCATTCAATGGCAGGAGATTTAGAGGTGTATGAGAGAAGGAACTGGTCTTTCAGTGCTAGCTTTGAAAATGGTGAAAGAGGGCTACAATAGAAGACAGAAAGAGAAGAAATAGGATTCTCCTGATGGAACACATACAGTCAACATCACCCCAGTTATAACTGAGAGAGACTTGGACTAGACTTGATCTGTAGACTTGTGAAATGGCAGAAGCATCATCATCATACTGCCAGTGTTTAGCCCACTGACTTTGAAGATATATGTTCTAGCAATTTAAAAAAATGTATTACCTCTGAGATATAAAGAGAGTATAGCAGTCATGCCTGTTTTGAGAAGAGCTACTCCTTTCTTGTAAAAAAAAAAATGTTAGGAGACAATTTCCCTCATAGGCCAAGAGTCGGTTAAGTACTTTCAAGTAAATTAAAGCCACGAGCTATCATTGTATCCAAGTGTGTGAACAGAACTGTTTGTAGACCTAGAGTTTTGGCTGAATGATGAGTTTCTATTCAGTTGTTTTCCAAAAAGAAGAGACACCAAGTATGTTTTCCGGCTTTCTTCCCCTATTTTTTTCCCTCCAGTTCTTAGTTTCTACAATTTGTTTTGATGAACAAATCACTAATGACCTGGCAATTTGAAATGTTTTGTGGGACTTTTATTATTATTAATTTAAAAACACTGTTCTTCAGCTGAAGAAGTAAAGTTCTTCATTTATGTTGAATTTTTAAAAATCAGCATAGAAACATCTCCCTGCCAGGATCTCAATTGCTATATAAGAAACCTTTGGAGTAAGATGGAAAACTAGGAGACTCTAAGTTCTTGTCATTTGACAGAATCCTTTAGAAACAAGCAGAAAGTAGGAAAAAACAAACTCTCCCAAGAGCAGAAAGCAGAGCCTAGGTGGCCTATGGCTAGTGGCAGGTGAGCTGCCACTCTTTATGAGAGAAGCTGAAGGAGGATTGGGATGGACAGGAGTGATATTTGAAGAACTAATGCTGAAAACTTCTCAAACTTGACAAAATTCATGGACAGTCACATCCAAGAATCTCAACAAACTCCGAGCAGTATAAGTTCAAAGAGCTATAAGACTCATTACAATACAACACCAAGGAGCAAATACAAACAATTTTAAAGGCAGCAAAAAAGAAGCAATTAATTTAGTAAAACACATTTTCAGGAGGTTAATAGCTAATTTCTTTTGAGAAATGACAGAGGCAAGAAGGCAGAGAGATTAAAGGAGGGGAAAAGGCCATCAAGAATAAATTTAGCAATGGGTCAGTGAGATGGCTCAGCAAGTAAAGAAACTCAATGCTAATGTTAACAACCTGAGTTTGATTTCAAGGACCCTGAAGGTGGAAGGAGAGAAAACACGCCTGAAAATTGTCTTCTGATTTCCACATATGCACTGTGGTGGGTTTGTGCGCGCACGCGCGCGCGCAAGCGCGTGTGCGCGCACACACACACACACACACACACACACACACACACACACACACACACGGTGGTAAAACAATTATAAAAAGAAGGTATCTAGGAAAGCTTTCAGAGGAGCCTGGAGCTGGTGGGGCACCATGTGGTTGGGCCTCATATCCTTTCCCATGGTCCTGGGAAGCAGGGAGGGGGAGGTAGAGATTAATATGAAACCCACATGGAAAAGTTAAAAGAGAAAAAAAAGGGGGGGGGGGAATCAACAGGAGAGCTTTTAAAACCGATTTAACTTTGCTCAATTTAGGAAGAACAAATTCCAAAATAAACTGTGGATGTCGACATGCGGAAGTATGAAACGAGATCCCTATCCGTTACCAGGTACAAAAAGCCACAAGAATTCTAAGAGTTAAATTAACCTAACTATGTAAGTACATGGAACAACAAAACAAAACAAAACACTGGAAACATTTCAAGACAGAGGAATAGGCAATTTTATAAGACCCCACAAGTAGAGGTAAAAAAGCAAAACTAGACAAATGGCATTATTTTAAACTAAGTCTTCTTCACAAGGAACGTAATCTTTGAAGAGAGCCTGCAGAATGGAAGAAAAACATTGGCAAAGTATTCATTTGATCACTACCCTCAATATATAAGGAAATCAGAACCCTCAGCAGCAAATCAAACAAACCAAATTCCTCCTTTAAAATAAGCAAACAGAGGCTGGAGAGATGGCTCAGCTATTCAAGTCTGGCTCCCAACCAAAAATAAAATGAGCAAACTGGGCATTGAAGAAATGATTCATACTGCTCTTCTAGAGGACCCAAACTAGTGAAGCAGAGCTTTTTATTAGGTTTTTCCCTTATCTGCATGTCTCTGCTCGAGCGCTGGGATTAAAGACACGTGCCACCACCCACCCACCTTATTCCCACTCAACTTTGTACATGTCCATATGCAGAGGCTGGAAATAACTGTTGAGTGTTCTCAATCTGTCTAAATTTTGGGACAAGGTCTCTCACTGAACCTGGAGCTTACCAGTTTGGCTAGACTGGCTGGCCAGTGAGATCCTGGGATTCTCTTTTCTCTGCTTCCCCAGCACAGGATCAAAAGCCCCACTGTGCCTGAATTTTACACGGGTACTGGGGACCCACATTCGGGTTATCTCGGCTGTGGTGGTTTGAAGGAGAATGGCCTCTGTAGGCCCATTTATTTGAATATTTACTCCCCAGTTGGCAGAACTCTTTGGGAAAGTTTAGGAAGTGTGAACTCATTGGAACAGGTATGTGCCACTCAGAGTGGGCTCTGAGGTTTCAAAAGACTTGTGATTCCCTGTTAGCTGTCTCTGCCTTGTGACTGTGTGTCAAGATGTGAGCTTTCAGCTGTTCCTTGCCTCCACCATCAGGGACTCTTACGCCTCTGAAACTGTAAATCAAACTTTCTTTGTAAGTTGCTGTAGTCACGGTGTGCTATCATAATAATGGAAAGGTAACTAAAACAGAACCCGGGAAGTGGGCTATTACTGTGACAGACCTGACCTTGTGGTTTTCTTGAAGGAATGTAGCAGGACTTTGGGATTTTGGAATAGAAAAGCAGATGAAGTCTGTAAGCAGAGCTTGATGGCCCATCATATTAGGAGCCTGGAAGACGGTAGTGCTGAGAGCTATGCAGACTGTGGGAACTAAGCTCAGGTTTCAGAGAAGAAGAATATTAGCAACTTGCCAGGGATCTTCCTTGTAATATTTTGGCAAAGAATGTGGTTGTTTTTTGTCCTTGTCTAATGATTATGGCTTCCACCTACACATTGCATCATTGAGTAGTATATCCCAATGTAAATGCAGGGGACTTGATAATTTCTCATAGTACAGAGGAGACAAAATTTCTTTCAGAACAAATGTTTATTTAAGAATTAAAGGTAAACAAAAGCAATAAAGCATAGAGGAGTACATGGATGGAATATAATTTATCTCATTTGGTCTGAAACCTAGCTACTTACCTGAGGTAGATTTGGGTTGGCACTGCTTCAAGGGAACCTCCATCCATCCCAGAAGTTACCTTCTAGCTTTGGCTACAGGCTCCCAAGTGGTCCTCTCCAACCTCAGGTTATGCTATGTAATACCAATACCTTCTCACCATAGTTAACAGGCCTCAGGCCTGCTTTACATCCCCAAAGTTCTGTTTGAGGAATGGTCCAGTGTTAGTTTACTTAGTGACTATAGACAATTACAGTGAGACAGGCTGAAGGAAGGGTAAGTCACCAACCTACTAATGTTTTAAACCGTGTCTCTTTCTCCATGGTCTCTCTACTGACCAAAGAGCAGCCACAATGACTATTTTTTACTGCCGTTGTCACATACCCAGTATTATTTTAAGTGTCACAAGTATCAAACTTTTGCTAATAATAGGCATGATATTCCACAAGAAGAAAAATACTCATTTTGTGTGTGTTTATCACAATGGACAAATTTTTATGGTACTAAAGTTATTTATAAAAATTACTAGAACATGTCAGATTAAAACCGACACAACCTGTTTCTTTAAAGGAAAATCACTGGAACCAGATTCTATGCTGAGCGAAATTCACAGTCCCAAAGATTATGATTACCAAACAACTATCAGATTATAAGCTTACAGCCACATGTAAGGTATCAATTTCATGACTCTAAACACTAATACCCCATGGAATTCAGGGGTTCACTGAACAAATTACATCAAAACCAGAGGACTGTGATTAGCAATAAAATAATTATATTCTACAGAGTCCCAAATACTACAGAAACTTGAAATATTTCTATTAAAGGTATTTTAAGCCCAAGAAACAAAAGCAACGATAAGAGGTCATAAGCTAGCCAAAGAATGCTAAAGACAATCAATTACCCTATTGTACTGGAAACAAATGCTTATCCTCAAACCTTAGGTGAATGTGCCAGCCACTTTTCTAATACTTAGAATCCTGCATTTCAAACCAAGAATATACCTTATATTGTTTTGTGTTGATTGCAATCCTTTCCCTGGGATTAAACTGTATTTTTCTTTCCTTGATAGAACTGAAATAAATGAAGAAAAATGTGTCATTATAAAGCTTAATTTGCTGCAAGCATCAGGATAACAGAATGAAGAAGGAGTACAGGAGCTTTGGAGTCAGGACCCTCAAAATCAGTGTCCTATTAAGCTATTAAGAATGTTTCATTGTGTGTCCCTGCTTTCCCTGGCTTACAACTTTCCCCTATCCCTTCTGCTCTGAGTCAGTTGATAACAGTATCTGTCACTGAAAGAGAGTAAGCAGGTCCTAAAAGTCTGGATACTATAACATCATCACAACCAGTATCCTGAAAGTTGTTATTTTGACTTGAAAAGAAATGAACCTCTAAATTTGACATCTCAAGAACCAGGGATAACTCAAAGAATACTTTAGGGACAATTTTGAGGGCAGATCTCAACACTAAGAGCTGAGTATTCTGCTTTTTGCTGAGGTTGATCATGCAAAGACGAAACTACTACTGAGAATTTTAATGCAAACTAAGTACTCCCTAGCTTCTTAGTTCTTATCTCATAGCCTGCTATCAACACATCATTCCCATTCTAGAAAAGAGAATTAAAAGAAGAAGAAGAAGCAAAACTCAAAGTGCTCCTTTCTCCAACAATAACTCATGCCTTACCTTATCCACAAGACTACAGTCCCTTTCATGGATTTATGAATTTTTAGAAGTGAAACTAAAGCAATCACTAAGTGGTTCAGACAAAAGAAAAGTGTCTTTACCTGAGTTACCATTCAGATCCATGCGGACCTGCCCCAGCTCCTCCAGAACAAGGTTCTGGGTCTCTAAGACACTATTTCCTTCTGAACAACTCTAGTTTTTTACAGTGTGGTTCAACCATGAGAACAATTCTTTTCATACATAGCATATGTACAGATTCTCACCCACTACCAAATCTCTTACTGGAGCAACTCCTCCGTTGAACTGGTTCCTTGGGGCCCAATTAGATGAGAGTTTCTAGCTTCTCAGACACAAAGCATTTATGGGTATTCACTGATGTGAATTCCCTAATATACCCCAAGAGCTGAAAATTAACAAGGTTTTCTTATTCAGACACTTTCTTCTGATTTTTGCTTAGGAGGATGCAAACCCAAGTAAGACTCTCCAACAAATGTTTCTGCCACACTCAAGATAAATATCCACTTATGCCAGCATGGCTTCTCTGATGGGTAAGAAGGTCAGAATTCTGTTAGAAGTTTTTTTTTTTTTTTCCTGTAATTCCTGAGGTTTCTCCCTAGGGTAAATTTTCTGATATCCAATAAGGCATACATCCTGCTCAAATTACTAACACAAAGCATTTAAATGGTTGCTCTCTGGTGTGAATTCTCTTGTAAGGATGAGAGTTTAACACCACTGGAGAGTTCCCATACTGCACATGTAAGGCTTCCTATCTGTATGAACCTCCTACTGTGGAAGGATTTCCAAAGCCCAGAGCATTTGCGGAGTTCTTCGCAAATGTGGCTAATAATGGCATCCCGATGGGGGTACTCTCTGCATAAAGCTTCCCTTACAGTTCCAAGACTGTAGACTCTCTCTGGTTCCCAATGAAGTGTGAGATCTGAGGAAAATCTGAAATTCACCTAGGAGACTTTCTTTTATGAGTTCTGATGTGTAAATACCTTTCTTTTAAGGTTACGTGACGTCTTGTCAGGACATCCGTGGTGTTTCTGACGCATGAGAGCTGAGATCAAGACCTTTTTCACTCACATTACAGATGTACTCTTCACCAATGTGTACTGTCTGATGTTGAAGAAGGGCTGAGCTATGATGAAAGCTTTTATCGCACACACTGTACTTATAATGCAGCTCCTCTGTTTGCGCCCTCATTTTCTGCTGGGCAACAAAGTCCACGTCTAGGAAGAAATCACTCTCACACATAGACCATTGATGTGGTTTTTCTTCCATGTGGATTCTCTGATGTACAATAAGGTCTGAGCTACAGCTGAAACTTTTCTCATATTCAAGGCATTTGAAAGTATGAGTGTGAGTTGCCTGGTGCCTAATTAGGTTTGCACTCCGAGTAAAACTCCTCATGCACTCCAAACATTTATATGGTTTCTCACCGGTATGGACTCTCTGGTGTACAATAAGGTCTGATTTCTGGCCAAAGCACTTCTCACAGGCACCACACTTGTACGGCTTCTCCCCAGTATGAACTCTTTTATGTACAATGAAGGCTGAACGGTGTCGATAACTTTTCTCACATTTACTGCATTTGTATGGTCTTTCACCAGTATGAGTCCTTTGGTGGCTAATAAGATCTGATTTCCCACTAAAAGCTTTTTCACATTCCACACACTTAAATGGTTTCTCACCTGTGTGAGTTCTTCGGTGCCTTATGAGATTTGTACTTCGACTGAAGCATTTATCACACTCATTACACAGATAAGGTTTTTCACCTGTGTGGCTTCGCTGGTGGACAAGCAGATCGGAGCTCTGACCAAAATTCTTGCCACAGATGTCACAGGTATAAAACTTCTTACCTGCATGTGTCCTCTGGTGTCCTGAAAGGGCTAAGTGGTGCCAAAAGCTCTTCTCACATTTGCTACACTTATAAGGTTTCTCGAAATTATGGATCCTCTGGTGTGAAATAAGATCTGAACTTTGGATGAAGGTTTTCTCACACATATCACATCTATAAGGTTTCTCCCCAGTATACGTCTTCTCGCACATACGTGCTAACTTTTCACAAAAGTTTTGTTCACGTTCAAGGCACTGATGTATTTGACTATCTATTTGAGTAATCTCATGTACGCGAATATAAATCTTGTTCCCCTTCTGAGGGCGTATATGGTATATTTTTCGAGTTCTCTGGTTACATCTTACTTCTGAAGTGTACATTTTCTATGGTTCCTTCTTAAGTGGTTTTCCATTGGTCTTCTTGATCCCCATTTTCATAGTCATTTCACTGGTAACTTCAAAAATACATCTGTTTCAAGCCTTTCATTCATTAGCAGTTTGTGTTTACAAATTTCCAGCATCATATATATATATATGTATATATATATATATGTGTGTATCAATTTCTTACTTGGTGCCTCCAAACCTATGAGACAAAGTAGAAATATTATTTATATTTCTATCACTAAGAAATCTCAAAGTCAAAATCATTGCAGAAAAGACTGATAGAAACTTTTTACTGAGGCTGGAGAAATGGCTCAGTGGATAAAGGTGCTTGCTGCCAAACCCGAGTTCTACTCCTGTAACCAATCTACATGGTAGGAGTTGAGAACTGACTGCTCTCCAATAACCACATTGGTGCCATATAGCACCCACCCACCTCCCACATACACACTGAATAAATGCAGGAGGGAAGAAGGGAGGGAGGGGAGGAGGGAGGGAGGGAGGTGGGAGAGAGAAAAGAAGAAAAGAAAGGAGGGGGTGGAGAGGATAGTCTGCAGGGATCCCTTACCTTCCCCATAATTCCTGTTGTTTTGAGACAGGGTTCTCTGTGTAACAGTACTGGCTGTCCTGGAATTCACCAGGCTGGCCTGAAACCCACTGAGATCCCCCTCTTCTGCCTCCCAAGTGCTGGGATTAAAGGTCTGCACTACCACCACCCCACTGGACCCAAGATTTTTAAATACCTGCATATACATAATGAGTTGCCCTGGGAAAGGGACGAATATCTACACAACACTCATTCATATTTCGTAATTTTTGTTTGTTTGTTTGTTTTGACACAGGGTTTCTCTATAGCTTTGAAGGCTGTCCTGGAACTCGCTCAGTAGACCAGGCTGGGCTTGAACTCACAGACATCTGCCTATCTCTGCCTCCCAAGTGCTAGGACTAAAAGTGTGTGCCACCACTACCAGTCACAATCAACTTTTACACAGGAACTGAAGGTAAATTCTTAAAGTATTTTTAAATAAAAAAAGTTCTTGTTATTATGCCTGTGCCACAGTTCATGACTACAGTTAGAAGACAACTCTAAGGGGTTTGTTCTTTTCTTCCACCTTTAGGTGTGCCCTGGGGACACATTCAAGTTTTCAGGCTTCCATGGCAAGCCCTCATATATTGTTACTAATTTTGTGAAAGACACAATGTTTGTTATGTGAAACTTTCATAGCATCAGTTTGGCACTCAAACTATTTCAAATTTAGGGGCACTTTACATTTAAAATTTTTGAATTAGGGATGCTAAATCTGTGGTTTTCTTCTCCCTATTACAAATATAACAGACAATACATATGATAGACTACCAACAGGTACTTATTAGGGTTCTGGGCCGGCAAGATGCTCAGTGAGAAGTCAGCAAGCCTAATGACCTGGACTTGAGACTCTGGGCTTACATGATGGAAAATAGTGATTCCACAGGTTTCACCAACAACAATACAAGCTTAATTTGTTCATTTGGCAAACACATTCTGAATCTTAACTTCAAGTTACTGTCTCTACAATATTTTCTCTTACCACTAACAGGAAGGAGCAACTCCTCCCTTTTCGTGAACCATATCAAGACTGCATTTCATAAGTATACTTAAGAGCAACAAAAGTCCAAATAAAAAGATGAGCAAAAGAACTTTGGAGTTCAAAAATCTTTGTGATAAAGGATATATGGGACAATCAAACATAAGTATTTAAAGCATTATCTGAAAATTCATACTTGCTGTATAGCCTAAACTATGGATTGCATCACTTAATTTTCATTGATTACATGGGTTATGGACATTTAATCCTCCCAAGAACACTGTAAAATCAGATATCAAAACCAATATCTGCATCGTGCAGATAGGACACCTGTTGCTATTGGTAGTTAATTATCCAAGACCTCACAGATAATTTAGTAACAGAGACAGGGTTTAAATATCCACCCTCTCCTACAGAGCCTGACTGAGCATTGGGCACACTGCCTTCTTTGTATGGCAAAGCAAAAGAGGGGCAATTGTTACACACCTACTGTGAACATATACATGTCTGTTGGAAATGCAAAGTATACTTTAACTGGTATGACAGGGTCGGGTTTTGTCACCACTATGTTTACAACAAATCCATTTCCTTTTCCCATGTATGTTTTACCTTCTTTCTTATTCCATCCCCTACTTCAAAATTTACATTTATACAGAAACAGACATATGCCACTTACCATAACAAGAACTCAACGACTTTCCTTTTGGCTGTACAAAGTCTCTAATTCACAAATACTCAATATTCGATTCTTCCCTCTCCTAGAGGAAAAAGCAACAATGTTAAATATAGCTGCAGAGCTTACAAATTTTTACTGTAAGCCATTTAAATTGGTCCATGCACTTTCTAATCCAAACATCATCCTTCAGCCAAATCTTGCTTCTTCTCACGTTTGCTTATACTAGTTCCTCCTTCAAGAAGCAGTTCCTTTCTGACCTGCTCTACACAAACTAACGAGAATTCTTCACAGCAAAACCCTAGGCCTTGTTTTTCTCCTACTTCTTTTTGTTTGTATCATTTAATTTTTGCTGTTAAGACAGGGCCTCGTGTAGCTCAGGCTGGCCTCAAACTCGTTAAGCTGCTGAGGATGGCTTTGAATTCAGACCCTCCCAAACGCTGAGGTGACGGATAGATGCAGTATTATTTCAACTTCTGAGATCAAAATTCATTCTTTGCACACTAAAACTACAGGAATACGATACATGAATGCAAAGCAACATATAACCAAGGTCCCTAAAAATAAGTTACTATGGAATGCTTTGAGCAAACAGATTCCACTGAGCTTAACTAATCTTTGCCCCAAGACTGGGGGAGGGTCCTCCCAGCTACAGACTGCCTCCACGCTCGGCTTCATTACTACCTCCGAGACAGTCCTACACGCTCTCCTCCCAACTTTTCGCTGACGGTACATCGGACATCAGGGGCACTGCACCCGGCCACCCCGACCCCCACATTGCCAAAAGCCGCTGCCGGCTCGCAAGCTTACCCGGCCGCCCTAGGCGGAACTTCCGGTGATTGGACCCTTGTGCAGGGGCTTCCGGAACCTCTCACTCTGCGGAGGCAGGTTAGGTCCCAGCGTCTGTCAGGTAGGGAGGGTGAGGCCGAGATGCCGGCAAGCCATTTGAAAGATACCAACCAGGCGGACCCAGCCACCCACGCCACAAGGCCAACACCGAGAGCTCTCACCAGCTGGGACGCGGTGGCGTAGCCCCGCCTCCAGCACGTAACCATCCCTCATAGGACTCCACCAAGGCTCTGAGCCAATAGGCACCGAGCCTCCGGAAATGAGCGGAGCCTGAGCGCGCCTGCGCACTGGCGTTTTTGGGCCCCCAACTCCCGCTTTTAGCACCTAGAATGAAAGACGAGGGAGGGAGCTGCGCTTTGCTATGATCCCCGCCTAACTGAAGCCACGCGCCACGTTGTTTTCTTTCCCCACGGCTGTTCAAATCAGGAGCCAGCAGTAGCAGATAGATGTTGCGGTCCCAGACTTAAACACTGGAGAAGATCCGAAGAAGTGCTAATTCCAAAGAGCTGCGGAGTTGCCATTCACGCAAGCCAAGGACAGAGAAGGATGACATGTTTTGAAGCTGGAGCGGAGGCATAGCCTTGCTACGTGGTTATTTCTGATTGCGGTTCTAGGCTAGAGAACTTAAACAAAACAAACAAACAAACAAAAAACCAAGAAAACGAAGAACAGTAAATATTTTCTTAACTTGAAGAAAAATGTATGTAGGCCGGCCAGATGGCTCATTGTGGGAAATAAGCAGAGTGCTTACTGCTCAAACCTAGAGACCTTGAATTTGACCCTTGGAACTCATATTAAAGGTGGAAAGAGAACCCACTCCACAAAAGCTGCCTGACACGCACACACACTAATAAATAAGTATACAATACAACACACATGTCTATACAGACCTACATGTATGTATATAATGAAACCCCTCACAGGGGAAGATGAGGACCAGAATTCTCTGGCGAAGGATTTGGATTGGCTTGTTACATTCTAGAGTTAGGGACTGAGAATGACAGTTATAAGTTCTGGATTCACTAATTCCTGTTTTGGAATGTAGCTTGTTTGTTTTAAAAGAAAATTTTCTAAGGCAAAAATATCCTATCACCGTCATTCTAACATTTGAATTTTTTATTAGATTTATTGATTGTATGTGTATAAGTGTTTTGCCAGCTTATATGTGCATGTATGTACCTGTGTGCCTGGTGCTCTAGGGCGGGGCGGGGGGAGCATCAGATTCCCAAGAACTGGAATTATGCATGGCTTGTGAGCTGCCTTGTGGATGCTGGCTAAGAAACAAAGCAGGGCAAGATCAAGGGACCATTACCGTTGAGCTATCTCTGTAGCCCTCGTTCTAATATTTAAATAACTTTTATTAACTTTTTTGAGTGTGATACATACAACACAATTCTAATCACTTTATGGAATGGGCTGTGTATATAGTAGGAGGAAATGTACACATGCAATTGCAGGAGGGAAGAAATTCTGAAAAGAGACACTTGTGTCTCTCCCTTCAGCTATGAGGCTATTGAGACAATGGACTCCAAGTAAATGGAATTTTTGCAGGAGTCTTATGCTGGGAAAAGGAAAGAACTGGTGATGGGAGATGTTCTTCTGTATATATGTTTCTCTTATTGGTTGATGAATAAAACACTGATTGTCCAGTAACCAGGCAGGAAGGATAGGCAGGGCTACCAGATGAGGAGAATGCTGGGGAGAGGATGCAAAAAAAGGCTGCCAGGAGATGATGTAGCCGAGGAAGGAGCAAAGGTCTGGACCCTTCTCCGGTAAGATAAGACCACATGGAAATACTTAGATTAATAGAAATGGGTTAATAATTAAGAGAGCTAGCCAATAAGAAGCCTGAGCCACTGGTCAAACCGTTTATAATTAATATGTTTTTGTTTGCTTATTTTGGACTAATTGGCTGTGGAACTGTTGGGCCTAAGAAAGGTTCAGATGCCAGGCCCAATGTAAGCTCCTGAGCCTGACTTGAGTTTAGGGCTCAGATGTGAGGCCCAATGTAACCTCCCGAGCCTGGCTAGAGTTTGTCGACCTGTCTCTAACCTATAACATCCATGTGGGGGTGACTCAGCCAGACCTGATGCATGATTGCCACCTGCCTAGCTACCTGCCTGCTTGGGGGGAATACTATTGGCCCTTAACTCCTCACATCACCTTACCCTATCCTAAGATTCCCATCCCCTACCTCAGCCCTATGTAAGTTCCTGCCCATTGGAATAAATTTAGATCCTGCTTCGACAGACTCCCGACTCAGTGTGGTTTTTTTCTCCCTGGTAACTAATGGGGGGAGGGTCTGAGTCGTCGACACTCATCATCCCACTCAGCCCCCCACCCCCACCCTTCCACCCCCGGGAAGAGGCCGGCTGGACTGGCCCTTCCTCTGCTCTACAAGGAGGACCCTGAATGGAACAAGGTGAGAAAGAAACTCCAACTACAGACTGGGTCCCCAGTGCCAGTCAATGGGAAAGTTTGAGCAAGATTTTACACAATTCTGACTATGATGATGAGTTGGGCTGCACCTTGACCAGTAAGTACTGCTTACTTATGTTAATCTCATGTCCTTAAAAAAACAAACAAACAAACAAACAAAAATAACCTGAACCTCATGTTAGACCCCCAAAGATAGACTTACGGGAGTCTGAATGTCTTTACTTGTTCCTCTTTCCAACGTGACCTCACTGAGCAAATCTCCTTTCTCTGCTTTTCCTTGCTTGTCTTTTTGACATTTTGAAGATAGGTGGCTGAGCCTAGCTTGTCAGAGCCACCAAGGTCTATTTTTTTTTTTTTTTTTTGCTTTTTCTGTTTCCAGCTTTTATGCTACAGCTATTCTATTCAGCAACTGCAGGTTGCTTGAAAATTTTCTTTCATCTTCTAAAACTCTTCTATCATCCAGAGCAGTATGTTTTCTTATAATAGGCATTAGGTGCTTTAATTGCTCTAAGATGAAGTTTCTTCTACGATGACAGGAAATGACTGAACCAGATTTGGCATAGGGGTCTTTGAGAGCCCCTCAAAGCATTTCCCAAAGGCAAAGTATTGCCTTCAATGTCTCTTGTTGACCTGCATTCTTTTGTCCAGTGCCTGCCTGCCATAATCCAAAAGAGAAGGGAGTTCTGATTGTATTATTTAAAAAGCATTGTTTCTAGGAACAACCTGTTTACAATCCCTTTTAAGATTACCTTGTTTGCCACAACTAAAACATTTGACATTTCAATTTTTCTTCAAGCCTCTTGAAATCACCTCTCCCATCCAGGCATCATCATCATAGTCATGAGCTTCAATATTAATTGTATCTCAGATCCAGTCCTCCAAAGTTGCTGACCTTGCCTTTAAAGGCCTAATTATGATTTTGCATTGAGAATTAGCATTTCCAAAAGCCAGAGTTTCAATTATTACTTATCTAGCGTCTGAATCTGGTACCATTCTAATTACTGCTGGTGTCAATCTTTGTCAGAAATCCATGAAGGCTTCCTTTGGGTCTTGTATAACTTTTGTAAATGATTCAATTTTCTTTCCTATTTCCCCAATTCTGTCCCAAGCATTCAAAAGTGCTGCATGGCATAAAGCCAAGAGGTAGTCATCATATAGACATTGCCTTTCTAAAGAAGCACAATCTCCTTCTCCAATAATTTGATCTTAGAAGATATCTAGCCGGGCATTGGTAGCACACACCTTTAATCCCAGCACTAGGGAGGCAGAGGCAGGTGGATCTTTGTGAGTTCGAGGCCAGCTTGGTCTACAAGAGCTAGTTCCAGGACAGCCTCGAAAACCACAGAAAAACCCTGTCTTGAAAAAACAAAAAACAAACAAACAAAAAAAAGAAGTTATCCATACCTTTGGCTTTAGCCCATTGTTCAATAGTCTTATACTCTTCTCTGAACCAGGTAGTCTACTGTAATTGTGGATCAGTCTCTACAACAGCTTTAATCAAGTCTATCTAGTCTATAGGGATAATGCTACTACAAACTGACCATGTGTTTTATATCTGCCTCACAAACAGTGAATGCATGCCATATGAGACTACTGCTTCCTTGAATTTCTCTAAATCAAACATTATCACAGGCATCCAATTAGCTTTTACAGTATCTCTATCCTTTGGCACTTCCTGTAAGGTTACTGGATATATTAAGGTTGGTTTTCTTAAAACCTTAAGACTGTCCCTTTTCAACTTTATAATTCAATGCTGGACTTGGTTCTCCATTAAATTTCTCTGTCTGGGTTTGGATATCTCTAAGATCTGCTTTAATAAGTTTTTCTAAGGCCTGTATCTTGGCAGTCATATTAACCAAAATGTTTAGAGATAAACCAAGAATTATGAAACCGATAACAAACATTATGAAAATGATAATTAACAGTACATCAATCCTGGTTAAATTGATTATCCCTTCATTTACTTGTTCTGTTTTTTTTTAAAACCATCCATTATATTATACAGAGACCTAACTCTCTCCATTGTAATAGTGTTTCCCATTTTTTAATGTGGGGAAAAAACCTTTCTTTTTAAACTAATTCCTTCCTTTAAGAATTCTCAATAGTCTTACCAAATATGCTAACAATGTCAGTGAACTTAGAGGCATATATGGCATGTCTGATCCCTGGGCTGGGAGTGACAGCCCAAGGAGATGTGCTATAGGGAAATCCCAAAGTCTACGGTGGTTGGAGTGGGAGAACTGGCCAGACAGCCAAAAACAGATGCGATTTTTAAGAAAAAACGTGTGGCAGGTGCAGCCTGAAGGCAAAAGCCAGCCATGCTATTGTGGATAAGACATGTGTTAGGAGCCCAGGTCCCTCTGGAATTTGGGTGTGAGCTGAAGATTGTTTAGAGAGGCCACAATAAGCAAATCCTAAACTTTCTCAAAGACTTGGGGAAAAACAAAAGAAAACTCAGGCTGGGCAGGGACTTCATCAGGAGCCCTGCATGTAGCTTCAAGTTGGCAAATGACTTTTTCATGAATTCATACCTTAACATTGGGAACCAATTTGTAACACAGATTAAAAAAAAACAGGGACTGATATTGGGGTTCAAGCTGATAATCAGAAAAAGCAAAGCATATGGCCTCTAGCTCTTAGCTCTACCTCAGGCTGAAAGGGCTGTTCTGTCCTCAGCATGGCTGGAGAATAAATCTCCAAGACTGAATACTGAATGTCCTGCTCCGATCTTATATACCTCTCTAAAGCTGG